AATACTATTTTGAGTAATAATTGTATTCGAAATTTGATCTGAAATTAATTTTAAAATTAAAAAAATATATAAAAATATAATTTTTAAATTTTTATTTAATGTAAAATTAGAAAAAAAAATAGGTAGATAATGAAATTGAAAATAATTTTAGAAAAAATAAGTGAAAATTTGGGTTTGATAGGTATTTTTAAAAGAAAAATCAGAAACTATGAGTCAAAACGTAATTAAAAAAAATGTGTCACGTAGGACTGTCCAGTCAGCAGCCCCGACGAACCAGAGCACGCCGCGTGGCAAGGCACACTGACTTGGTGCCATGCGAGAGGCCACTCTAGCAATTCGCGTGCCTGCGATCGGACGACCCGAATGTGTTCTCGAGCGCGTGGATGATTCGGATTCTTTCCCTCCTCAGGCCCGATCGGACGATCACGATTAAACGTAATGAACGGTCCAAATTCCTTCATTCTTTAAACACGATCGTATGGTCGAGATCAAATCACGATGAACGGTCTAGACTCATTTTTTTTTTAAACCCGATCCGATAGTTAAGATCAAACGCGATGAATAGCCTAGATTTAAGGAAGACGGGTATAAATATCTCACTTCACACCGAACTCAAATTCTAGCCGCCAGCTTTCTGCTAAAGAAGAAGAACCAGTTACCAGAGAAGGGGGCCGACCTCTACCCGCTACCGCGCCGGAGTCACACCCGACCGCCAAAAAAGATAAAAATTCTCATATTCACTCGGAATTTAATTTTGAATATCCGCATATTCAAATCGGAGTAAAAAGAACAGTGGATAAGTCGAAAACCGCGGGTAAAGCCTGGCGGTGCCACTACGGAAAAAACTAAAAATCACATCCGATGAGCCCCTTCCCGTTTACTGTTTCATGCGATTTTTTTACTATTATGTTCACTGTTTTGTTTTCTACAGGTTGACTAAAAAAAAACATTCAGCCGCGAATGTGAGCTGGCAAAGCCGCCACACCGAAAAATTCTGCCGCTGATAAGTTTTTGTTTTTCGATTTTTTTTTGCCAACCGAAACCCTCTAACATGTTTTCTCGCAGGGATGAGTATAAAACCATCCAAAACTAGTCGAAAATGGCAAGGCCGAGGCAAACCACCACCGCGAACGGTGGTGCCATCGCAGCATGGTGGTGCCGACGTGCCAGAATTCTAAAATTGGCCAGAAAATGTTTTTAACACCAGTTTTAGATTTTTTAGAGTATTTTTAGGTACATGAAGTGTGTTTTAATCTTCGCAATAAAATTCGGAAACCGCCAGTAGGCGCAACTGAAAGTTCAGTGTTTCGAACACCGATTCGGGTAAGAATCTCTTAACTTATTTTTTGTTATAGAATTGGAGTTTAATTATTAATAATATGGTATTTTATGTAATTTAAAAAATTCAAGAATTAATTACAGGTTACTAATAGAGTCAAAACTGATTATTTATTAATGTTGTCCTATTTAACTGATTGTTTGATTTTACAGCTTTAAATGCATGATAATATACTGAAATTGGTAAAATAATTCAATTATGTTTTCTTGATGCATGTATTGTTTGTCTTGCGTTGATTTATAGTTAAATTGTGAAACTGAAAATTAAATGTAAACAGAAAATTGATTGGTTAAGTGAATGAATAAATGGTGGCCTTATTGGATATCTTGGAAGATAGTGGACGGACCGGGTACATAGAGAACCCGACCGTGAATGACGCCTCATACCGGACGGGTTAGCGAGGATTGATATTTTTGGTGTTCATACCGGACGGGGTATGCGGACGACCCGTTTCACCCTTATACTGGATGGGGTATCGAGGGATTGTATTCTTAGCGCTCATACTGAACAGGGTATTAAGGGATAGTATTCTTGGCATTCATATCAGATGGGTTATGGGACAACCAATTAGTTGACAATGTTGAATAATGGTTCACGCATAGTGGGATATCCCTATAAACCCTTATAAATATCAGTAAACAAATAAAAATAGAAGGTTGTTATTCTTACTTACTTGAATATGAGATTACGATGTTGTTGAGCTATTGTCTCTATCGATCAGTTTTAAAAATCTCACAACGTTAAATATATAATAAATTATTCTACTTATAATAAATAAATTTATTTAAATTAAAAGCTCAATTGGTTGTTTTTATGATTTTTACCAACTTTCAGTTTCTGTATCGGTGAGTAGTGTGATATTCTTACTGCGCTAGTGTAGCTTACCCCTTCATTAACTATTTCAGATCAAGAGGACCAAGATCCAGATCTCGATCAACAAGGGA